CATCTCGTTTAACACTGATATACCACCATTTTTAATATACCTGTTTCTACCACACTAGTCAAAATGACTGGTGTATACAAAAAAATACTTTCTGATGCTTCCAAAAAAAAAAAAACAGAAAAACAATCAATGCATGTCGAATATCAAAATTTCTGATTTACCTGCGCACTATTCGCGTAATTTTGTATTTTTGTTTTTGTTTTTGTTTTGTTTATTATTGATAAATGAAAAACGCATGTTGTTTAACATCGTGTCCAACGAATTGCCTCCATTCTCGATAATTACCGTTAATTGTGGATGAGGAGGTACCGGTACTTCTTTACGATGCATGCCATAATCGATTTTAATTGCATTGTTGATCACGTTGCGTATGCTATAATAAAAAAAAAAAAAAAAAAAAAAAAAAAAATAAAACGAAAAGAAAAACAAAACAAGATTGTCACGCAATATTGTCTACGATTACCTTTATAAAATGAATGCATTTTATCAATACTTGCATTTTCTCTCTTTTAATTTGTCTTCATTAAATTGTATAGAATTTTAATTAGCAAACACATTAGATATACGATAAACAAGATTTTCAATGTGATCTATTATTATAGGATTAAAGGATATCTTCATGATGATAAAAATAAATCATAATGTAATAAATAAATATTCGATAATTTTAAATTTTGTAATAATTCAGATAACGAAATCAGGCGAGAGAGTCTCATTAATAATGTGACAATTATTATCGATATTCTAATTAGCTGTTACATTGCGATATGTGAATATTTTTATGAAATATTATTTATCTGAAGGGGAGATTTATTTATTTATTTATTTTTTTTTTTTTTTAATTACGAAAGTATTCGACGCAAATGTGTTGGAAATTAAATTGAAAGAAAATAAAAAAAAGAAAAAAATTGACAACAATTATGAAAACGTGTGTATTAACGCGAAGAGTTTGTTTACCAATGTGTAATAATATTAGTATATTAATAGAATTGAAACATTATTATTATCTATTAATTTTATATATAATTATATAGAATATAGAATATATAGAAATATATATATATATATATAGTATTAATATTATAATATTTAAAATTATTATATATATATATATATATAAAATTATATTACAATATTAAATAATATTGTAATATTATTTATTTTTATATATAAATATATAATATATAAAATATTATATTATATAATATAATATATATAAAATAATTAAATATAATAGTAATTTAATAGTATTAATATTATAATATTTAAAATTAATAATGTAGGGGGGGCCTTCGGGGTAAACACCCTAAAGAGGTATACCTGAAAAATAAACTTCTTCTTCTATAAAATAAATAACTTCTTCTTCTTCTATTTAAAATTAATATATATATATAATTGTAATATTACAATATTAAATAATATTTTAATATTATTTATATAATATATATAATATTATCTAATATTATAATTTTAATAATAAATATTATCTAGCATATACATTATATTATTATAGTAGTATAATAATATTATAATAATATAATAATATTATATATTTAATTATATATATAATATAATATAGTATAATATAATATTTATATATATAAAGAAAAATTATTTATATATATTAATTCTATATATAATTATATATAACTATATATGCAATAGTATATATAATAATAGAATTGTTATAAATTAACACAAAAACATAGTTAGAAAGATTTGTTCTATCGGTAAGTTGAGTTCTTAAAGACACGACGAGCACAAATGATGGCATATAACCGACACTCAGGTTCAATATACGTAATTGTAAAATTGCTCTATGTAACGTGACAAGCTCTTCTGTTTAACTGTCGTATCCCGTTCACGATTGTTCCACTTACAAGGGCGTTCGTTGATGTAACAACGGTGCTAGTGTGGACTAGGTAGTAGTCATTGGCGTGTACAAAAAAGGAATGGAAAGGAATGGAAAGACAAGGAAAGGGAAGGAAAGGGAAGGAACATAGGGGAACTTGAAAGGGAGAGTTCAATTCAACGAACTCTTTTCTCCAACATCTCTGGACTACCTTTTCTTTCTTAGCCCTTCCCTCCATCTTTTTTTTTCCTCTCTTTCTGTTTCTCTCTGTTATTTCCAAAGTATTTCACGAATGACGCAATCATTTTAAACCATTGGATTTTTGTTTTATTCCAGTTGTCATAGAAAATATTCAAAATACTATTTTAACAAATCAAATTGGTTTCTATTGTTACGAAATACAAAGTGTTTCCTGTCAATTGTCATTTTTAAACAAACCCATAGGAAATTTTCGTTTTCATTCACATTTATTTCATCATTACTTTTCTTTATGGTATGATGCAATCATTAGTATTGTCATTAAATTTCAAAAGAAAATGATATTTTAAGTAATATTAAACATTAACGTATATCGTAAGTAAATGTTGTATGTTGTTTGTTTTATCGATTCACACGTCTCGAATGCAATAGTAGAAAATTTAATATCAACAACTTGACAAATCTCTAATTTCATAGAATCGGAAACACGATCTTTGATATTGATTCTATCATATTTTTTTTTTTTCTACAAATACTGTTTTTTATCGTAATGTATATTTGAAGCAAGATAGCTTCAATATTTCTTGTGATATCTATATTTATAATAGAACAGTTCTTCAGAGGGAGAGAAAAAAATAAGATGGCGAAGTATTTTTGATTTATCTTATTAAATGTAAAATAAATCGAAAAAAAAAAGAATCATTTATCTTGTCATTAAAATAATCAATATAAAAATTAATATAAATCTTATGTGTTGGTAAAAAATTAATATATATATATATGTATATATATTTAATATTATTATGTAATATATTATAATATTTTATAATATTTTAATAATATTAATATTATAATATTTAAAATTAATATATATCAAATAATTAAATATTACAATATTAAATGATATTTTAATATTAATTATATAATATTATTTTTGTTCATATATATATAAATAATATAATATAATATATAAAATAACTAAATATTACAATGTTAAATAATATTTTAATATTATTTATATAATATTAATTTTATATTTATATATAAATAATATATAAAATATTATATTATATTATTTATTATTTTATATATATATAAAAGAATAAGAAGAAGAAGTTTATTTCAGGTATACCCCTTTAGGGTGTTTACCCCGAAGGTCCCCCCTACATGTTCGTTCCCCTTGACAATATACTTAATTCTAATTATGCCCTAATATAATATTATATATAATATAATATAATATAATATATATAATATATAAAATAATTAAATATAAAATATATTAATAAATTTATATATATTACAAAATATTAAAATATAAAATTAAATATTAAATAATTAATATAATATAATATATAATAATATATAAATTAATATAATATAATATATA